GGAGCCCGGTGGGCCCTCCGCCGGTTCGGCTCACTGGAGAGAGCGGCTTCGCGCCAGTGCTGGCCAGCTTTGCTCTTCTTTGGAAAGAATAAACAGCCCCAAACAAGCAAACAAACAAACATCCACAGCATCTCCACTCGAAGGAAGTCATCCTTTAGGCCTGAAAGGCTGCTGCCCTCTCTCACTGCGATGTGCTCAGTGCAAGAGGAGCAGAGAAACCCGGGCAGAGCCTTAAGCTGTTTGCCAGCTACGCCAAGGAACTCCCGCGTTTCTCCTGGGCGCTCCCGCAGTAATGCCTGCGTGCCGCAAGATACAGCGGAGTTTCTGACTTGTGTGGGAATGCATTGTTCGTTGGCTCGAAGCTGAATTTCTCTATCTGAATGATAATCTGGTCAGGAGAGAAGAAACCTGCCAGGCTGTGACAGCCCCCTGCTCGCCGCTGGAACTCGGCGCTGAAAGCGTGGGCTGCGGCAGACTTTACGAGCGAGACCGCTTGAGGTCTCGGGACACGTGTCTCGGTGCCGTCATGTGAGGGTGACGAGGTTGGCGCTCGCCGGTGGCGCTCGGGGAGGTTTATTCACTGTAGGCATGCGAAGGGTCGGGAGAGCGGGGCTGTCGCGCGCTGCGACTGCTGCAGCTGCACCGAAGGCAGAAAAACTCATTTGAAGTCGTGTGAGCGGATCTGGTTATTAATACTTTGTCACCGGACCCAAAATGACAGTGCTGAAAGTGTTGAAAAGCGCTGTGTTAGGGTCAAATATGCTGATGTCAGGTTGTACTGTTGCTGTCGTCTACAATGGAGTAACAGTGCTGTTCCGATACATACCATCGATGTGTTTTGTATGCTCTGTAGTTCAAAAGAATAACAAACCCCACAATCCTACATACCGGTATTAAAATAAATGATTTTATTTTTTATCAAACACTGATTTAAGGAAACTTAATTTAGAATTTGGGAGAGATGATGCTAATTTATAAAGATACTGGTAGCTCAGATATGCTGGTTTAAGGTTTGAGTGAGCCAAATGCTTTGATTTTAGAAACAGTTGTTAGTCAGGAGGCTACAGTAGCGAACAAACCTTGACCCATACCTTACCTTTTCCGTCAGCTTGTTCTGTGGTTTGCCTGAGAACTGCTGAGGTCTGGGCTTACTACAGTGAAGTTGTGTGTGTGTTTTTTCTTTTAAATGGTAAGTTTTGAGTGAGAACTTACTGACCACTTAACAACACTAAGTGCAAAGTTTTG